TGATCTTCTGCTTTTGGCTTCCAAATGTTGAGATTACAGATGTGTGTCACCATGTCTGGCAAAATTATACTTTTTATGGAATGCTATGTTTTGGCTACTGACACCATGAGAAAGGGAATTTATAAAAGAAAGCATTTAATTTGAGAGCTTTCTTACAGCTTCAGAGGGTTAGTCTATGACCACCATGGTAGAAATCATGGCCACAGACAGGCAGACATGGCACTGGAGCAGTAGCTGAGAGCTTACATCTGATCCACAAGTTGGAAGCAAAGAAGAGAGAGAGAGAGAGAGAGAGAGAGAGAGAGAGAGAGAGAGAGACAGAGAGACAGAGAGACAGAGACAGAGAGACAAAAACAGAGAGACAGAGAGATGGAGACAGAGAATAGAATTGGTTTGGGCTTTTGAAACCTCAAAGCCCAACCCCAGTTATACACCTCCTCTAACAAGGCCACTCCTCCCAACCCTTCCTAAACAGTTCCACCAGCTGAGAACCAAACATCCAAATATATGAGCCTATGGGGGCCATTCTCATTCAGACCACCACAGTCATGTGATGTTTTAATACACGCATGGTTTTGCAGTGTTTCTGTCAGGTTAGATATCGCCATCGACTGAAATGCTTATCATTTCTTTATGGTGAGCACACAGAAACCCTTTCCTTTTAGCTTTCCGAGCTGCCTGTGACATTACTGTTGTTTTTAAACACCGAACTTCTTATTCCTAATTGTGCAGTAGAATCCTCGTGAACAAATGAAAAACATGAGTGAAAGGAATAAGAAATTATAATTAAATAATTACCATACTAATATTTTGGGGAAGAACCGTCAGTAGGAACTGAAAATCAGTGACAACCGTCCTGCAACCCCTTTTGTGAGTGACTGTTGTTTCCTATCACCTTAGTATGCATCCTGGAGACAAGCTGGGCTTTCTCATGGCAAAACCCAGCTCAGTCACCCTTGACATACTTTCCAAATCTGCTCCTCCTCCAAGTTCCTCAACGTGGTCAGTCCAAATACCTGCTTTATACAGTATCTATCTACCTGTGGGACAGCTAGATATGGACTACTTGAGTGGTCTCACTAGCCTTTGGTATCACATGAACTCCAGCTATTCCATAGTAACCACCTCACAGTCACAGTGTGACCACCTAGAACTCATGTTTGTGTGCTTTAAATTCAGTTGAAACTCCTCACACAAAACCTGTTTAGATAATACCCTGAACTAGTGAAGGTGATTATACATGTATCTTTTCTTTTCCTCCCTCCCTGCCTGTACTCTCTGACCTCGTGTGTGTGTGTGTGTGTGTGTGTGTGTGTGTGTGTGTGTGTGTATGTATGCATATATGTATATGTATATATATATATATATATATATATATATATATATATATATAGAGAGAGAGAGAGAGAGAGAGAGAGAGAGGGAGAGAGAGAGAGTCATCTGTGTCTTCGTCTCTATCTTGTGTGTCTCCTAATTATTGAAAGGGTACTAGCTATCTTAGATATCTTTAATAAAGTGCCTGGAGAGATGGCTTAATAGTTAAAAGCATTTCTGCTCTTCCAGAGGACCCAAGTTTGGTTCCCAGAACCCCGGTTGGATGACTTAGAACAGACTCTAACTCCAGCTCCCCCTTCTGGAGGCATCCATACACATGTGGCAGACATATTTAAAAAAATGATCCTGACTTAAAGCACTCCTGCAAGATATGTGCAGATTATAAAGGACAGAAAAATCTGGTGTAGATTCCTTTAATCAAGTCAAGATGTTAACATCATCAGTCTTGTGGTCCCCACGTGCCTCCTGATGGTCCCCAGGTCACAAATGATCACAACCTAAATTTAATCTTGAGAAGGTGTCAGGGAGGGCAACCACAGTTGGAGACCAGCATGCAGAGAGCTGGCCTGTATATTTCAAACTTGGGGAGAGGGGGAGGGGAAAGAGAAACTGAAAACTGCCACAGAAGGCCCAGGAGACCGTGCGGCTAGATGCAGGGCTGTAGGTTGGATTGGGTACCAGACTGGAAAAGGACATTAGTGGGAGAATGTGTGAAATTTTAATAAGTCCTGGCAATCATGTAGTTGTATTATACCAATTTAAGTTGTATTATTTTAATAATTAATGATTGTTTTTATGTAAGGTTCTCTTTAGGAGAAGTTGAGAGCATAGCACTTGGGAAGTCTTTATTCACCCTTTACGATGTTATAAGTCTGAAATTATTGGGCAATAACAAGTTTTAGAAGAGCATTACAGTGTGATTTTGGACAATTTTGAGTATCTCTGTTTGGAAACAAAAAGGATAAAGGTAGATGTACAATGGCTCTCTATAGTCTCATTTATTTTCTCGCGGGATTGCAGTCTAGCTGCCTGATAGTCTTCAAGCACTTGTCAACATCCTCAAGCACCTGCTGCAGCCCTTTCACGGGTAGCCTGTGGAACCTTCCAGAACTCATCCTAACACAATTATTTAAATTTTATGATTGTACCAATGGAAGCCTTAAACAATTATAACTTAGCTCCAAAATGACAGTGAAACCAAGAGTTATACTTCGGACATTTTTTTTTTTAAACTAGGTCCAGCTCTCTCTCATCTAAAAGCCACACTGTAACAAAACACTTGAGGACATTAGTTTTCATCCACAAAATAGAAGAGGTGACAGAATCAGGGGTGGATTCCCTTTGACTCTTAGATGTGTATCTTGTCTTCTGAGTGATCTCACTCTTTGAGCACATCTTGTATGTAGCCCAGTGCTTTGCCTGTGATTGGCTGTCAACAGGCATTTTGAGAAGATACGAGCCTGAAGGGCAGAGCTGGTAGAAAGATGAGTATGCTCTGGGCTTTATCCGTGTTCTGAAAGGATCAGAGTAAGCACTGATAACTCTTGGTGACTGCAAACTTTAGTGGAAAAGTTGACTTACTTTGTTAAAGCCTAATTCTAAATAAATATTTGACTTCATGAAAGAATAAATGGGAAACTCAAACTAGGTCAACACACAAAGTGTTAGAGATTTATGCCTTTCCTGTTGGCCATAAAGGGTTGGTCTGATGAAATCTGCCTTTCTAATTTAAAATAAGCATCCAACCCCATTGTTAGTAGGTTTTACTCTGTCACTCTCTGTCATTTTCCTCATTACCATGTGATCAGTTTCTAAAACACTTTCTCTCCTATTTGCTTGTCTCCCATAAATATTATGTGGCTTAGCTATTATCTGGCTTGTTCATCACTGGAAAAGCAGCATTATTGGGTGCTTCCTTTGATGGATTTAAAGAAGGTCTGCATCAGTCCACAAACCATTTTAGTTGAGGCTGAGGAGGCCTCATGACTTTTGTGTAGAATCAGTGATCTCAGTAGCACTCAAGAAGAGGAAACTAAAAACAGGGTCACAGAATACCACTATGGGCCCGGATGATGCCTACCCCAAGTCAACTTGGGCCCAAAGTTGAAGTAGCATTAGACCATTTGTCCTCTACACATAGTGATCAGTGACAAAGTCAAGTGATGCGTTCCATTTTCTCATGCCTGTTTCCTGGACTTCTTTCTTCAACTCTGAATTTATTCATGATGCCTTTGACTTTCAGGGGAGTTTTTTTGGGTGATATTATAACAAATGAACAGTCTGGCTTTTCATATTGCTAAGGTCCAATCATACTTTTAACAGAACTATAGCAAAATGTATATATCATGAAATTGGCCCTATTTTTCTCACAAGGTTTGCTAAGGGACTTTTCTTTAAGGTACCAGATGAAAACACTTTTTTTTTTTTTTCAAATTTGGTAAAAGAGAGTTTGAAGGGAAATTTTTCACAATGAGTTGACTTTGACTTAGGTATGCAGAAGACTGAACTTGTTTATTTTGTGGTCTTTAAGTTATTTTTGTTAACTTAGTCTGACTGTGAAATAAACAGATTGAGACTACTTTTGAGGTACATAATTATATATATTTTGAATGAACTTTTAAAATCTATTTATTAAATGCAATTCTGTTTATATCATCATCTTATTGTAGTTTTCTCCAAGCAGGCTTTGCTTTGTGAATTGCAACAATGTTTTTATTTAAGTATATTTTGTAACAAAATCATATCTATAGTTCATATATGCATAATGTATATAATAATACATACATATAGTAGCTTAATAGTTTAATGCTAGAATTACCAAGGCTAAGAGTAGGGGCCCATATTAACTTGTTGAATGTCTGGGAGGCTGATCTCAAATCCTTCTCATTTGTAATTTGGCGACACTCGTGTGGTTATATACTGCCATCAATGTAACTAATATTTTTAGAATTCCAGTTTATAAGAGCAGTTAGCTTTTCCTCCCTCTGACTTTGAAATATAGTATTAAGATGTTTAATGTGAAGTGTCTCTGTTAGTATGAATCATTGTTGTTTACTGGGAAGCCCTTGTTCATTCTGCTGTCCTAAGCGGAAATGGGATTCTAGTCACAAGTAATGTCATAAGACATTCCCTTGTTGCTGTTGTACAATGTGCCAGTGTGGTAGAAGTGAGGTGATTTTTGTCAGGAGAAAAGTTTGTCTCATTAGGAGTGTACCATTTCTATGCACAAAGTCTGCATAATTGCTGAGGCGCTGTCTACTTACTTAATCTTAGTTTTAAAGATCCAAAGCTAGAGCTATGGTCTTTGGAAAGTTTCTGTTTCATTGAGTGTAGAGAAGGAAAGAGATTCTTCCATACCTGCATACAAACAATGTGAGAGCCACAAATAGCAAAACTTGGTTAGCAGCTGCTGCCTAAGGAATGGAGGTAATCAGTGAGTTTTGTTACTGATGGCCTGAGCACTGGTGCCTAGCCATGGTAAGAGGCGTGGCATGGTTTGCAAATTGCTGCATGTGTTACTGCATGAACAAGCAGAGACAATGGTTTCCAGACAACTGGGAGAGAGGGTGTAGAGGCAAAGTCAGAGAATGGCATCTGAAAGGGCTGGTGATGTGGGACCCTCCGCTGACCGAAATCTCATCTCTCTCCCATGTCTCTGATTTCAGATTGCCTGTTTGGTGCCTGTGGCCGAGTATCAACTGTATCAGCGGTTAAAGTTTGAACGAGGTACGTATTCTTCTGTTTATTCCAGTAGTGAATGTGGTTTTTATATAGATCATCTTCACAGGAGCTTTCATGCAAGATTAAAGCACCTGTGCGCTGTCAACAGAACCACAAGGGGACTACAAAAGGTGTAAAACAGTAATTGCCACATGCAATTTCAAATCTCCCAGCCACCGCCAGGAAAAAAAAAATGCAGACTAGCAGGAAATGGAATTTTCATTATGTTGGTTATTTTGTATTTTTAATTTTGGGCTATGTCCAGAAAGGTATTGCAAAAGTAAGATGGTTTCATTATAGTAACACAGAAGAAAGTAACTCTTAAAATAGAGTTTTATCACCATGTTTTTCACTCTTGAAGATCATTTTAAAACACCAACCAGCTGAAACGTTGTTATTGGTCCTCATGATAAAGTATCCACTGTCTATCCTTTTGGTACTACCTCTGTAGTCATGGCGATATCTAAGAATTTGGATGTGTGTTACTCTAGTAGCATTTACAAAGTGCTGGGCTGATATGTTCTAACTTTGGCCTTGGAGCAATTTCCATAGTATTGGTTAAAATATTAAGGCCACTCCACGTAGTTAAAAGGGAGGTTTATTTTGTGGGGTAACTTACAAGTGAAGGAATAGGTTACAAGGTCTGGGAAAGGTATAGCACAGTCCAGTGGTGTTCTCTGGAGAACTCTGCTCGGTCTACCTCCAGGGTCCAGGGTCCAGGAACCAAGAGAGCCGGCACATCCGGATCTCGGGTCTTTAGGGGTCCTCTCTTGGCCCCGCCTTGTAGGCGTGACCGTTACTGAAGCCTCAATGGGGGTGGTGCTTCCAGGTCAAAGCTGTAACAGCTACCCACTACATTCATAGCCTTTTTTCCTTACACAGCCCGTCTATCTGTAGGATGTGTGTTTTTATTCCTGTTGCCTCTGACAGATCTTTTCAAGGAGTCCATTCCCTCCTGCCATCCTTAAACCAGTCTTGAACTGGATGGTCTATCTTTTTAGTATTTGAGAAGTCGGAGGAAGGTGTTTTCTGCATAGGCTTAATATAGTCTCAATGAGTATATTACCAATCCTAATGTAATATGAGCATAAAACTTCTGAGGGCCAGCATCTTGGTCTGGAACTGTCAGGATGTCATTCACTTTCCTCAACTAAAGTCTCACTTGGTCCTATGGTCTATGAACTTTGGGCTATTTTGTTCTTCTGTCATGGGTGGATCACCCAACTAAACTCATAAGGCTGATATATCAAGCTGATTTTTTTCTTGTGGTCTACATAATAGTTTTCCCTCTCTCTACAGTCATTCTCCCTAACTACTACATATCTAGCCCTCAGCAACAGGCTTACTTCTTTATTGTTTACATATGGGGAATATAATAACATTAGATAAGTGCTAATGGCTCCTGAAGTTAAAACTTTCTGTGCTTCTCACTGATGAATATAAAGTTGTGGTTGATTTTAAACATAGTGGCCAAGAGCCTGAGTACAATAAGGTTGATATTAATATCCATAAGTCATGTCCTATGACTGTTGCCTGTGTCTTGTTTGAAATATCACCTTTATATTACACACTCTTCCTCTTATGTCCTCTTTCCCTAAGTGAGATCATCATAACAGTCTTTAGGAAACATTCTCATACTACCATAGGTGTAATGACTGACACATTGTTAGAGGAAACAGAACAGTTTTTAGTTAGCTGGCCAAATAGGTCTTTGCATCCAAGTGGGCTTAATAACCTTGTGAGTGAGGTAGACATGGGGAAAAAATCAACAAGACATCTTCCTACTCTTTCCCCAGGTGGTATTTTGCTTTGTGGGACTTGAGTACCCCAGTGTTCAATTTTTCTTATGATTGGCTTATACTTTCATGACATGTGGTAGTGTGTTCTGTCTAATTACAAAAAATTAGACAGGCTTTGCAATCAGGGTATCTTTGTAGATGGTGTTGCATGTCTCTACTTTTACCCATGATAAGTCAGTCAAATAATTTTATTTATACATATAATTTGTTTACTTACAAAGTCTAGGTAGGTATCCTACTGTAGGGCAAACTCAAGAAATTGAGGTTTTTCTATAAAGAGATTAAATTCTATAATATTTTACAGTTGTAGATACTATTTTAAGCATGAGTCCATCTTTTTGGACAATGATGACCTGCTGTGTCCTTCACAACCTTCTTGCCAGGCACACTTTCTCCTCAGCTTCATGTTCCCTGTACCTCAGCAGCCACTTCTTTCAGTATAGTCCAACAGCATCACTTGTTTCCTCTTCATCTTAACCCACATCTTTTACTGAAGGTTTCATCCTTAGTCTTCTAGGTTCTCGAGTGTCATTTAGAAACTTTACAATCTGCAAGTTCTCTACAACACATCATATTCATCTCCTTTAATTCAGGTTCCCTTATTCCAGGTATGAATCCTACTTTCTCTAAACACCTTCCAGGAGACCATGACTCACTTTGGTAGGATGTCCAACATGGCCATATTAAAGAGAAAAGAGTCCTGTGGAGGTAGCAGCAATTAAAATTTATTTAATACTGTCATTTCTTTTGGATAGCCAGCTGTAACTTAGGGGTTGATCTGAAACTCACCAAACTTGAGTTATGCAGACTTTCGTGTGTCTTGTAATAGTGTTAGAACAAAAGACTTCAGATGTTATTCCAAATTTGAAAATCTTTGAGTCTTTGCAACTCTCTAGAGAGCAGTCTGTTTGACGGTGGGTACTCCGTCTCTATGGACCATATTGACTGTAGCAGATGTTAATTCTGATTACTTTAGTTTAATGGCATTTTAACTATCTGCAGAAGACTCCTCTTCTTTGAGATATCAAAGGCAAATTAACAAGCATAATTAAAAATGCATCGGGTCATAGAAATTAATACAGCTTGATTTATTTCAGCTGATAATTAAATTAAATTGGGTGTGTGGTGTTTCCCACAATAGCAGAAATTCTTGTGGTAGTCTCACAGTGGTAGAGGATGACAGGAAAACCCCTCTTGTTGGTTGAGAAAGTATACAACAGAATAAAAACAAAGTGCACATGGTGCGTGTCAGATGCCCCTGGTTGTCGTGTAGGAAAAACAAGGGTTGAAGATTCAGTTTTGTTATTTGTTCTCTTCCCTTTTATCCCCTCCCCCAATGCTGGACTTGATCAGATTTCGGTTTTAAAAGCTGAAAATAGTCATCTGGGTCGGAGATAGCAGTTCTTACAGCTCATGGCCGTTTTCATTTCCCAGGCTGTTTCGATTTCCTAATATTGTCAGAATACAGAAGTAGAGAAGTTCGAAATAGCATTTTGTGCTTTGTAAAACTGCATGGACAAGCAGTCTTAGGATAAATAGCCACGGGCCTTTACTTCAGTCACCAGGTCTCCTTTGCAGAAGTGAATTGAAGGTCAGAGTCTGCGAATTTGCCTCTCTGATGAAGTATGTCACAATTAATCCCTTTGAAATCATGTTCATGCTCACCATGTCATGCTGATCATGAAGTTTCAAGGTCACCCTTAGGGTGTGGGCTGCTTTGGTCTAAATTCTTATATTCTATGAACTTAAAAAATTATTTCTTTGCAATTTCATAATTTATATGATGGACTTTGATCATATGTCCCATTGTCCACTCTTAACCAGTTGTTTCTCCACTGAACCCCTCTTCCCCACCAGTCTCCCTCCTATTTGCATGTCTTTTAAACTGACACATTTATTAATATTGTGTGGTATATGTGTGATGTGAGGGGAGAGTCCTGCATGCCAAGGCCCGTATGGAAATCAGAAGAAAACTCTGTGGAGCCGGTCTCTCCTTCCACCTGTGTGTGGGATCCAGAGATTAAAATCAAGTCATCAGGCCTGTACTGCTTAGCTAGTGCCTTTCCCTGATGAACCATCTTGCATGTGGATCTAAGTTTGAAGAGAGAGGGTTGATATAGGAGATGAACGGGCACAATTGTACCCATGAAATCCTGAAGAACATGAGCAGTAGGGCTCACTGCAGGGTGCTGGATAACTAAATCTATGCACGCCAGCCTGCAGATGGGGAAGATGGGCTCTACAGTGTATCTCTTATCCTGGGTTCCCAGAGGCATACTCAGCCACGGTGCATGGTACAGGCTTGCAGACTGATGTGCACGGCTGTTTCTTCCACAAACTCCTCATAGGTGAAAAGAGAAGGGAGGTCCACAGGTGAGGATGAGACATAGGGTACCTCAGACTGGAAGAAGCCAAGGGGGGATTCATATCATGCAAAGTGTCTTTGGGAGTATTGCACGTGAGTCTTGCAAAACAGACTTTCAGTTTCACCCATTTGTAAATCACTTACATGAGGACAGAGCCCGCCTTCTGGAGCCTACTGTGTTTTTCTGGTTATCAGTAACTCAGAATAAGAAATACATCTTATGACCAGCCTCCTATCTGTTGTTCCTGCAACCACAGATTTAGCCAACCTTGGATCAAAAATACATTTTTAAAAAATTGCTTGTGTACTGAATATGTATACTCATTTTTTATTATTCCCTAAATAATATAACAATTATCCATATAGCATTTACATTGTAGTCAGTGTTTTAAGGAAGCTGGGGATGACTGAAAGCATGCAAATACTGTGCCATTTTATGTAAAGGACTTGAGCCTCCTTTGGTTTTGGTATCTGTACCTGGAGGGATGCATATACTCATGCATGCACATGCGCACTTAGAACTCGTTAAATGGACTTCTCAATTCCTTTTATGTAAAGCATCACAATAAAATGTACATATTTGTAGGTCTTCTTTCAAAGAATTCAATGCTGCTCAAAATAGAAAGTGGGAGGGTGGCTGAAGAATTTGACTTTGGACTGTGGAGAGCATGCTGTGTGCGGTCAGTGTGTTTAGTGTGTTCTGGAGAGGGATGTTAATCTCGGCCATCTCATTTGAAAGGAAGAAAAGTGTTGGGCTAAACAATTGCTTTTCTAAGTGGTGGGACCCCATGTTCTCGTGCATTTGGACCCCCTAGATGACTACCGTCACCTTCCACTCTGGG